CGGGGGCCATCCCAGGGCTTTGGCCCCGCAGTGCGAGTGGAACGTGACCCGGTGCTGGTTTCAGGCTGGCCATACTTAGCCTCTGCCCTTTCCTGGCTGTAACACGACCTCGTCAGCGGCCGCCGGCTCATTTGGCTGCGGGATGCCCCATCCCAGCACCCCGTCCAGCCGGTTTGGGGTGACGCGCTGTGGCCAAGCAGGTTGGGTGCTGCGGGGCTGGGTGTGGGCGAGGGGGGGTGGCCAAACCTCCCTCCCTGAGATGATGGGGTGCAATGGCGTGCTGCAAGCCCCCCTTAACCCCCCAAAAAATCAGCCCGTGGGGAGCTGGGGGGATGCTGCCTCCATCACTTGGTGTCCTGGTGACGCCGGTCAACCTAAGCCGGTTTCCGGCTGCCCGGCGGCACCCCAGGCACAGGGATGTGGTCAGGGCAGGGGAGGAAGCCAGTGACGTCACTGTGTGTCACCCGGCATGGGGAAGCCCTCACCGCAGTTGGATGGGGCGGGTGGCTGCTGGGAGCCAGGTAGGTGATGGCCGTGGGAGCAGACGTCCCCAGATCCCTATTTAAGGGCCAAGCCAGGGGTCAGGCCATTGGCAGGGCGGAAGACCCAAACCCCGGCTTGGCCATGGAGCTAGGCACCGGCGTGGCAGGGAAGGGAGAGCCGTTGTCTCCCTAGACCCCAGCCTTGGAGACCCCTGTGTCCTGACCGTGCTGAGTCGTTCATCCTGCTCTTCTTCCCTCGCAGCCTGAAGTGCTCCTGTGCCTGGACCGCAGCAGCATGTCGACAGGTGAATGCTCCGTCCACCTTCCATCCGTCCCCCCTGCATCCATCTGCTTTGCATCCATCCTCTCCGTCCCCCTTGCAGCCATCCGTGTGTCTCCCTTGCATCTGTCCTCTTGGTCCCTCCCTACATCCATCACCCCTGCAGCAGTCCCCTCAGTCCCCTCTGCGTCCATCCCCCCTGTGTCCGTCCCCTCTGCATCCCCTCATCCCCCTTCTGTCCGTCCCCCTTACACGCAAGCCCTCGTTCCCCCCTTCCATCCCTCCCCTCCGTCCCCCTTCCATCCCTCCCCTCCGTCCCCCTTCCATCCCTCCCCTATGT